TAATATAAAAATATGTCTCTAAAATTTTAGTAAACATAAAATATGGTTGTCTCCCATACGAATGCAGAAAACCAAAATGAAACAAAACCAGTGGATGAGCCATATCTGGTGCCAGCTGATCCTGACCGCATGGATGAAATAAAAAGCTCTGTGGAGAGCATATTTCCTGTGGTGTACCACACAGACTTCTACACCAAGTTATTCTCTAAGGACACTTTCATGCAAATCCTCTGCACGCCCGCAGACAATAAGATAATTGGTCTATTTGCCCTGCGGCTCTCCACAGAGCAGACCGTGGACTTAGGCGGAGCTAACGTGGATTGTGCAGAGTGCTTAGACAGCGGGAGCAATGATTTTAATCTAGATACGGTTAGAGAAAAAAAGTTTATGTACGTTATTCTGCTGGGAGTGGTGGAGAAGTTCAGAGGAGGCGGGTACGGAAAGATTCTCCTCCGAGAGATAGACTCAATTTCGGTGGCATACGGTATACGCCATATTATGCTCCATGTACAGATATCCAACCTACGCGCAATTGAATTCTACTACAAATCAGGCTTTAAACTTGTCAAACTAATCAATAATTACTACAATAATGTATACCCTAAAGATGCCTTTTTATTACGAAAGTGTTTATATTCACAATAGATAATAAATTACTTTGAGAGAGATCTTTCTATCTTGTCTAGCCGTTTTTTCAACTGAAATACTTCTTTAAGCACTTCTTTGTGTATTTGATACACGGAGTCCTTGAACTTCTCAAAGGACTCGTAGATATCAGCTGGTTTTTTACATGGAGTTGCGGTTTTATTCTGCACTTGGCCTAGAAGATGCTCTGGAGAATCTTCGCTTAGCTTCGTTTTCTTTTGGCTGTACTCTACGTCCAAGCGAACCGGTCTTTCGACTATTATCTTTTCAGAATTTTCCTGCATTGCACTCCCGGGCACATCGGCTGGCAGAGCGCCCTCTTCCAGAGACTCTGCGCCTTCTTCCGTTTTTCTTTTTTCCGGTGGATTCTTCGGACTTTCCGGTAAAATGGCGGGCTCGTCTGGAATTGCCGCAATGAAAGAATGTTTGCCCGGGTCCTGTGTCCTATACACCGTGCTGATGCTGTTTGTGTACGGTGAATAAATAACTATCTTGCTAGATGAAATAAAAACCATCGCTTTCCCTTTTAGTGCAACAACCGCTCTGTAATTGTCCAATGGAAAATTATTTCTTTTGAGGACTCTGTTGTTCTGATAGTCTACATCCAGGAGCTCTCCTGCACACGTAAGCACAAAAAGAATGGACGGCTCGGGCTTCCAGAATCCAATTGCGCTGATGGGGGCTCCAAAGTATTTCATGCTTCTTATTATTTCCATTTTTTTTGTTTCAAAAACGTACACGTTTCCTTTGATACAGCTTACAACGAGCTGTATTTGTTCTCCAAGCTTTGATGCTTCTGCGGTGCGCGGGTCTAGTGTTACTTTCAGGCGCAGTTTGGTGTATAGACTCGTTGCCATCTCCAGCCTGTGTATTGCCTTCTTGCACACGAGAAGCATCGATCCGCAGCACATGAGAATCTTTGCATCGCCAATCCTTTCGTCGCTTTCCAGCACTGTTTTTTTCTCTCCAGAGCTTATGTCAATTGTTGTAACGGTTTTTCCCGATATATAGATTATTGTTGTGTCGAACAGCGAGTAGTACTCGACCATTCCAACGAGCGCATCTTCTCTGCCCTTTAGATACCTTACAAGGAATAGCGTATCTTCTGGCGTGTGCCCTATAAAGGCGCCTCTCTTCAGCAGATGTTGATTCGTGGCAAACGAAATGTATCTTTTTCTTAACGGCCACTTATTGGTCACACTGCCCTTAGAAATAACCACTGCCCCATCAATCACCTCCACGGCTGTAAATAGCCCACTTGTATCTACCTCGGTGTGCACATCAGTAGAGTGCTTGTGCTGAGTCCCTGTCATTATAAGTTAAAAATATTCAAATAAACATTTTACAGAATAAAACCAGAATTTTCAAATATTGAAATTGAAAGACAGATGAAATCGAAAAGCAAATGAAAGTTAAATGAAAATTAATTTAAATTATTTCCCATGGCAGAAATTTCTAAGATATTAAAAGAAAAAGAAGGCGTAATTAGCAAAATAGAAGAAATAGGCCCTTCAATCTACAAATACACCATAGGAGTGGAAGAAGAAAGCATGCCCACGCTGTGCTATGCAGTCAGATTGGGTGTGCCTGGGAGAACTCTCACCCGGCCTTTCTCTCCTGTGAAAGTATCAAGCACTGCGCTAGAATGTATTATAAAAATATACCCAGAGCCAGCTGACAAAGACCACGAGATGTTTACGCCCTATCTATCTAATCTATCAGTTGGCGATGTTTTAAGGGTCTTGTGGTACACTGAGAAGCATCCCATCACTGAGATCCTGTGTGATACAAACAGACAAGTGTGCATGTTGTCAGCAGGCACAGGAATCACTCCAATGATGCAGATACTTCAGTGTGCACAGGAAAATAAAAATAAACAAAGTTTTAAAGTGGTGTCTGTATCGAGTAATTCTGTTTACAGAATACTAAAAAGCTCAGATGAGTATGCAGCACTGGATCTTGAAATAACTGACATTTTCATAGGAAGAAATGAGCATTCACAGGGCTCTGGGCTGAGCATTCTCAGAGAAAGAGTGGCGCAGATCAAATCAGCAGAAGAGAGGACAGTGTATCTGGTGTGCGGGCCAGACTCTTTTGTGAAGGAGGTGGCAGGGGACAGAAAAGGTCTGTACGGAGGAATTCTGCATGCTCTAGGGATCCCATCAAGCAGCTGCATCAAGTTTTAGTGGAGTAAAATGCAGTTTTATTTTGAAAGCAAAGTGTCCGAATAAACTTTCTGGAGAATTTAAAAATAAAATTATTTATACTTAGAGAGAACAAACAGGATCAAATTACATTTTATCAATAAAGTAAAAGAATTAACTAAAAGCATCTTTATACGGGTGTAACCCAATACCAGTTTAATTTAGAGCTAGTCCTTATCCAACATTGCACTACATACTGCATCTGCTCAAACAGTCTAAATAATCACAGTCTCTCTATCTTCTGCTGCTCTGAGCTCAGATACTTATCTAGTTTATCTGGCTGTTATTTGTAGGACTTATCTATGTAAATTTGTCTTACATGCAGCAATAGCCCACTGAAAAATCTTTTGCAGAAGAAAAGAAGGTGGCTCTCACTGCAGCATCAAACTATTGTCTGTCTAGCCATGTCTTCTAGCGCTCTGATTAGTCTTTTAATATTGTATACGACTTATTTTGCCGCCAATTAACAAATGTTCGAAATATTTAACTTTCTTATTTTTTATCTGAGTGCATGAGTGTTGAGACAGACAGAGAACTGCAGACGTATGTTGACAAAGAAGAAGAAAGACAAAAAACAACACTGACGCTGATAGCCAGCGAAAACTATGTTTTTCCAGAGGTCTATAAGTACTCTGGGTCACTTTTGACCAACAAATATTCAGAAGGAAAAGTTGGTGCAAGATACTACGGCGGAACCAAATACATTGACGAGATTGAAAAACTTTGCCAAAGCAGGGCACTAGCCCTTTTTAGCCTTGACCCTGCGGTCTGGGGAGTCTGTGTCCAGCCTTATTCTGGAAGCGTGGCAAACTTTTCCGCATACTCTGCTCTGGTGGGCCCAGGCGGCAAAATAATGGGAATGAATCTGCCAGCAGGCGGGCATCTAACGCACGGATTCCAAACTAAAGCGAAAAAAGTTTCAGGAAGCAGTCTGTACTTCTCCTCCCATCCTTACGGCGTAGATGAAAATGGAAAATTGGACTATAAGGAGATAAGAAACCAGTTTAACAAGGTAGAACCTGAAATACTCATATGCGGGTACAGTGCACACTCGCAGGACATAAACTACACAGAGCTGAGAGACATTGTGGGAGACAAAGCATTTTTATACGGAGACATCTCCCATATTTCAGCTCTCATAGCATCAGGACTAATGAACAATGCATTCGATGCGTGCGATGTGGTGATGACAACAACACACAAGGGCCTGCGCGGGCCAAGAAGCGGGCTGATATTTTACAGGAAAGTGGTGAGTATTAAAGGAACAACCCACAACTTGGAAAAAATGCACTCAGCTGTGTTTCCACTGATGCAGGGCGGGCCCCACAATCAGACCATTGCAGGAACTGCGCATGCTATGCTCATGGCTGCACAGCCAGAGTTCAAAGAGTACGGAAGACAGGTAATTGCCAATGCCAAAGTATTAGCAAACTTTTTCGCAGAAAGGAAATACAACATAGTCACAGGATCTACTGTCAACCACATGATAATAGCTGATTTAACAAGTAAAAACGTAACAGGCGCAGATTTGGAGGATTTCTGCGATCTAATTGGGATAAGCGTGAATAAAAATACAGTTCCAAAAGACACATCGCCATTCAAGCCATCAGGTGTTCGTCTGGGGACGTACGCAATAACCACCAGAGGATTTAAAGAGCAAGAGACAAAAGAGGTAGCTGATATCATACACTTCGCAGTGGAGTTTTTGCAGACACACCAAAAGGAAAGAGAGAACATGTCTGTGCGCGAGTGGGCTGAGAAGTGCGATGTTCTCAGCAGGGAGCCAGTCCAAAAAGCCAGCAGAAAAATATTGCACTTGGCTGAAATGTTCCCAATACCCGAGTAAAGATCGAATGTTTAAGTAAATCTTTTATTATTTCAATCTCAAATGACTGCTAATTTTTTCTATTTGTTTTAACGGCTTTATAGTCTTTCCTGCACTTTCTTGGATACGGTTCTTAGATCAGCGCACACTTTGGCAGGCTGCGAGCCCATGATCAGCTTACTTATCGCGGTACGCGCCAGAGCAATATTTTCAGCAGTTCCAAGCACTCGGATGCTCTTGTCCTCTACAACTATTCTTGTGTGCGAGATGATTTCCAGGTTGTTCTTTATTTTTCCCTTGCGTCCTGCAATTCTTCCTATTGCACGGCCTATGTGGCTGTTTTTAATTATTCTTACATCTTCTAGCGAAAAACAGTTTACGTACAAAGTGTCGTCTCTTAGTATGGAAAGAGCGTCCTCTGGCGAAAAGCCCAGAGTGACTGCTGTGATAAACTCTTCTGCTCTCTGAATGGCCACTGGGGTGAGTGTTTCTTTGCACGTTCTGATGTCTATTGATTTTGTTGTTAAGTTCATTCTTATCTGAAGCTTGCACTGCATGACAACGGGTGTGTATATCTTCATCCACTCTTCCTTGATTATTTTCATTTTTCTGGATGGAACTTGCACACTTCTCATCTCAAATGGAATTTCTTTTCTTTCATTATTCACTTCATCCATGAAAAATTCTGCAACTTGAAATATTTGTACTAGAAAGCAAAAACTCTGAGAACAAAATCGCGTTTAGCAAAAAGCATCCAGCAAAAGAACATTTCTTCTTCTTATCTCCTCTGCAATCTATTTCCTTATAGAGAAATAACACAGAATAAAAATAGCACTGGCAATAATCACAGTAGGAGTAAAACATGCAAAGGATAAACTGCAATTAGCTCTCCATAGAACACTATAAATACACTAGAGCAATAAGCCTACAAAGCGGTGCGCAAATAGATAAAACACTCGCAGCACACTCTGGAAAAGAAAAATAAACTCCATAGCCACCTATTATTTACTGTTTATTCACTACATCTTTCTCGTGCTGTAGAATGTCTTGACAGCTTCAGTGTGCACATAGTACAGTGCCAACAGACACAAACACACCTCGAATAAAGTGAGCTTTTTAATCCAGCTCTTGGTGCTCTTTGCCTTTTCAAGGTGCTCTGTCTGTCTGATCAGCAGAGCCTTGTGCGCACTGATGATTCTTCTGAGAACATCTTCCAAGTCCTTTCCCAAGTTAGCCTCTACCTGCGACGCAAACGGCCCTTCGTCAGCCTCTGGAAGAACAACAGTGAACATGATGTCTTTTTTAGTTGGGTTCAGGAGCACAATATTGTGCTCTCCTGCTGTTTTTGGAAGAAAAGATATCGTCATGCTTTTCTCGTTTTTGAATGTTCGAATTATCCCACTTGAAGGGTCCTTAATGTGCAGCGTGGTGTTGTCCGAACCTTCGCCAGCCAAGTTCATTTCCAAGCTTGTTTTCCTTCCTTCGCTCAGAATCAGCCCGAGCGTAAAGGTGTCCTCGCCTCTTATGTCGAATGTCTCGCACAGACAGGCGCTAAGAAAGAAAATAAGCCACAGTCCTCTGTTCATTAATGAAAATAAAAATAAGAATAATAAATATTTGAAATTCTTGGCAATCACCTCACAAAAAACTAAACTAGCTAATTTTACTTCTCTTCTTCTAAACATTTTCTATCCCAAATTGCTCTCCTCTCGCACAGCCAGCTAAAAACAGACTCATCTCGAGCTGTTCTGCAGGCCGTCTTCTATTATCTTTCTGTACTTGCTGAGAATCAGGTAGTTCTCCTTGTATATGCTTCTTATGTCAACTGTGACTTTATTTGGTATTTTCTTTTTTGCAAAGTATATCAGTATGGTGTAGATCGGAGCAGTTGTCTCAATTTTCGTTATTACTTGGATTTCTTCATTTTTTTCGTTGTACCCAGAGAATGTCTGATGGAAGAAGAACTTCATTATCATGCTCTCTGCGTAGCTAAATGCCCAAAATAACCCTATGGCAAGACACAGCCCTGTTTTGTACCACGGGGCGCTAAGATTCTTCGAAAAATAATGGGCGAGGAGAGTCAGAGCCACGGTTACCGTACCTATTGCTATGCGTACATCGGTGCTTCTGGTGTTTTCCTTGTACTTTTCTGCGCCCTGCAGGTGCTCCTGCAGCACTTCATCGAGCTCCATTTTCACCAGAGGAAGATCGTACAGATGCGCGCTTATCTCCTGTTTTCTCTGTGTCTTTTCTTCTGCCATGGCTGCAAATAAAATGCAAAGTAAATCTCTAAAAGCCAAATTTAATTCGCAAGAAAACAAAAAGGGCGACTCCGGGAATTGAACCCGGGACCTCCTGCACCCAAAGCAGGAATCATACCACTAGACCAAGTCGCCTTACTAGGTACCCAGACAATGTTACTGTCCCGAGTTGTTCTGCTCTGTGCTAATTAATTGCAGATGGCAAGAGTGTTGACCATGCTTAGTTTTATTTTCATGATGCAGAAATACAGATGCAAATAATTTTATTTATAGCAACTAGGAACGAGAAAGAACAATAAGATCCACTGCCCAACTTAAGCTAATTAGAGGGCTTTCTATTGCACATAGACTGCTGTGCGAAGGTACTATAGCTATTTTTGCTCTGTATAGATTTATTTGATTATTTACTCCTGATTATATTTCATTGTAGCTACTTTATATACTGTGTTTACTATTTGTTTGTATGCAATGCAAAATATCAGAAGTGATACAAAAGGTCCTCTCCCAGGAGATGGAGAGAGACGAGTCAGTCTATGTGCTCGGGGAAGAGGTTGCTGTCTACGGAGGAGCGTATCAGTGCACAGCAGGCCTGCTCGATAGGTTCGGGTCTCTGCGCGTGATTGATACGCCTATTTCTGAAATGGGGTTCACAGGGATGGCTGTGGGCTCTGCCTTCATGGGCCTTAAGCCTGTGTGCGACTTCATGTCCTTCAGCTTTGCTCTGCAGTCTCTGGACCACATAATAAACTCTGCTGCAAAAACCCTCTACATGTCAGGAGGAAGGCTGAACTGTCCCATTGTCTTCAGAGGGCCCAATGGATTTGCCTACGGAGTTGGAGCCCAGCACACCCAGGACTTCAGCGGATTCTATGCCGCAATACCTGGGCTAAAGGTAGTTATTCCTTACTCCCCGCGTGACTATGCAGGAGTTCTCCGAAGCGCCATAAGAGACCCCAATCCCGTGGTTATTTTGGAGAATGAAATATTATACTCCCGAGCTATGGAGTGTGACGAGTCTATTTTTGACAAAGATTTTTTGCTTCCCCTGGACAAGTCCATTATTGAGTCAGAGGGCACTGACATCACCATTGTAGGCATTGGGCTGACGGTGGGCTTGTGCCTGGATGCTCTCAAAGTCCTCAAACAGCAGAAAATCTCTGCAGAAATCGTAAATGTTTTGGCTGTAAATCCTCTGGACATCAACACAATTGAAAAGTCAGTTAGAAAAACAAAAAAGCTGCTTATTGTAGACTACGCCTGGCCAGAGTGCGGGGTTGCATCTGAGATATCGGCATCGATCTCTTCTCGCTTGTTCAACCTTCTTGATAAGCCTGTGTACACGCTGTGCAGCAAAAAGATACCCACCCCGTATGCCGAAGAGTTGGAGAAGGCAATGTACCCCAATGCAGACGACATAGTCACAAGCGCGCACATTCTTCTCTCTAAGATGGAGTATTCGAATAAAAACTAAATTAGCCGTGGTACATCCAACATTTTTATTTAAAAATCGTTTTTGCTTTTTTCTCGTTTTTACAGTCCTGGCGAGTTGTTGCTTTCAACCACGTTTCCAAGGGGCGACTGGAGGAGAACATGCAAAGTGACGAGCGTGTTTGGATTTATCAGGCCTCTTGTGATGTATATCCCTTCCTGCACGGACACATTCGCGCCAAGAACAGAAAAGTCTTCGATTCTCGACCATCTTCCAACAACTGTTCCCCAGCCTATGACAGAGTTGATGACCAGAGCGTTTTTCTGTATGGTGGCGCCTTCAAAAATAATTGAGTTTTCTATCTCTGCTCCATCTTCTATCTCCACATTTGGCCCAATAGTTGTGTTTTTTCCTATTACAGCACGCGGTGATATTTTTGCTGTTTCGTGGATCATGCACTTGTCTGGGTTGTTCTCGTGGTACAGCATGTTTCCGGTTACATAGTCCTTTGGCTGTCCAATGTCCATCCAGAATCCCTGCAGATCAAATGTTTTAACAACTGTCTCGTCTATCATCACTGGAAGAACATCCTTTTCTATCGACATCGGCTTGTCTTCTATGTAGTCCAGTATCTTTTTTGAAAATATGTACACTCCTGCGTTGATTCTGTCTCCTACAAACTCTTTTGGCTTTTCTACAAATCTTTTGATCTGCGAGCTGCTGTCTGTGAGTATAACCCCGTACTTTGACGGCGTATCTACTTTGGTTATGAGTATTGTTCCGTCTCCTCCGTGTTTTTCGTGATAGTCCAGCATGTCCCTAAAAGGAAATCCGCAGATAACGTCTGAGTTAAGCACAAAAAACGGCGTGTCCTCCTTCTCGAGCACATCTCGCAGCAGAGACAGAGGCCCTGCTGTTCCCATCGGACTGGATTCGATTGAATACGATATTTTTATGCCTATCTCTCGGTCGTATCCGAGGAGGTACTCCTGGATGTTTTCCTGCATGTGTCCTACAGCCAGTATTACCTCAGTAACACCAGCCTGCGCAAGAGCCTCAATCTGGTGTTTTATGATGGGCTTATTGGCGAATGGTATCAGCGGTTTTGGCTGTGTATGTGTAAGAGGCCTCAGTCTTGTGCCCATTCCTCCCACTAGAATTACTCCCTTCATTTCGTGCCAAAACAAGCTCCTATATTTATTTATAGTGGGACATATTTATTAATTAGGTTTTATATTATTTTACAAACACAAACATTTGAATAAAATTGCGATCTTGAAAAAGTAAAAATAGACAAATAGCTGACTAATTGTGGGTAATAAACACCGCACAGTTTCTCTTCACAGAAATCTTCCTGTTTGTGACATAGCAATACTTTCTAATCCTTCTCTATTGTAGCAAATAAATTTGCAGTGTGTACATCCATGTTATTTTTTGTTGTGAATACTCTCAATGTGTAAACTTTTAAAAAAATAAGAGTAGCACTGAGCAGTTCCTGTATTAGAATAGAACCATCTGGCTACTTACGTAAATAAACCAGAATGTGCTGCTAGTGGTTGTAAATCTTTTAAATGTGCTGCTTTGGTTGATGTGTTTGTGTGTTTATGTGCTTTTGCTTTCTAGGGAGATTCTGCAACGGATATTATGGAAGCGAAAAGTTTTATAGTTTTAAGAAAGCTAAAAAATTTATGGGAGGCAATAAGACCAAAAACAGAGTAAAAGTCATGCGAAGGCGAGAGATCGTGCAGAAAGCGGAAAAAGAGCCAGATGTCAGAGAGGATGAAATAAACCCAGATCTAAGAAAGTACTTCGACATAAACCACAACTTAAATCCGCCATACAACGTTATCCTCGATACCAACTTTGTGAATATGTCGCTCAGAAGAAAGCTGGACATAGAAAAAGAGCTTATCACGTGTCTGTACAGCAGAGTGAACATGTTTGTTACAGACTGCGTGATTGGAGAGATGGAAAAGCTTGGAAAAGTGCACACACTTGCCCTCAAAGTTCTGAAGAGCGATAAGTACAAGAGGCTGACATGCGACCACAGTGGAATATACGCTGATAACTGCTTTGTTGATAGAGTGAAACAGCACCCGTGCTACATAATTGCTACGTGCGATAAAGAGCTAAAACAAAGGCTCAGAAGGATCCCAGGGGTGCCCATTCTCTCTGTGCAGGGAATGCAATACTTTGTAGAGTCGCTTCCAGCCACTGGTGTGTTCAGATTTTAGATGTGCTCTAGCCAGAATCATATTACCACACTGGGCCATGCACGGATCAAATACAATTAGATATATGGTTTATACCACATTAATGGATGTAGCAATAAACTGAAATAAGATTTACATTTTTAGATTAGTAGAGAAGAGCTGATTTTAAATAGCAGTATACTTTGGAGAGATAGACATGCCATCAGAGAAAATCAAAGATGTTTTTTCCTTTATTTTATTTTGTGAGTCATATGACTGCAGGGCTAATGGACCCGATTGAGCTGTTTTCTGTATTCTATTCCAGAAAAAAAATGTTTCATAAATTTAGCATAAAATACTACACGGCTCTAGCGATCGGCTCTGTCTGCGTAATTTACCTGGGGTCCTTTATCTCGTTTAAGATATTTACTGAATACAAAAACCTAAACATTATCGGGTTTGAATGAAGTAAACAATATACCTTGAAATAGAGAAACAGAAGCACTGCAAAGCAGGCCTAAAAAGAATCGTTTTTGGTTTTCAGTTGATAAAATATGTTCTAAATTAAATAATGTTTTGATAGTTATGTTTTCATACTTTTTGCAAAATTAAAACGTATTAATTATTTTTGTAGTCCAAAGCAGTATATTTATTTTTATTCAATGTAGACTTAGTTTATAAAAGTTTATTTTGCGGCAGTGATCATTAAGATTATGCTAATGTGTACAATAGAAACTCAAATGTGCACAATAACCATCCATGGAAAATAGTAAGTATGAAGATATAAGTAATGAACAGTCTATTAGTTTTAATAGCACTGCCAATAGTGCATTTTCTAGCACTAAGACCAAAGATACATATATATACATACAGAATCCAGTCGAAAACAACACAATATGCACAGATAATAACAAAATGCAGCCATCTAGCGAGACAAAGAAAATACTAGATAGTGGCCATGCTGATAGTACTAGTAGCGATAGTGATGCTAGTAGCAAATCATACAGCGTGAAAGAAGACAGCAATGGGATAAGGCGCTATTACCAAGAGTTTGATGTGGAAGAGGATGAGCGAATATGTGGTGTGTTTAGCAAATGGAACTTTTTGATCACGTCAATATATTCTGCAGCGCACTTTCTTTCCATTGTTGCCACAGGAGTGTCTTTTGTTTCCAAATGCTACACAGTCTGGGATGTAACTCTGCTTTCAGTGAGAAAGACGTATGGCCAGCTGCTGGAGATGATAAACATCCCCATGGTGCAAACTGCTTTTGCAGTCATAAACACTGTGATGAACTGGGACCTATTTGACTTCGATATGTGCGAGAATAACTTGATGCTGGCCAACGGCATTTTATCTTCCATAGGGGTGTTTTCAGCTGTGTACTTGGTGTTTTTTGCAGAGCTTCCAATGTACGTGCAAATATTAAAATACTTTTTAGAGTACTACATTCTGTTCAATCCCTGGCTGTTTCTGCTTGCATACACCGAACAAATACTTACATTTATATTGTTTATTGCTCGGTCCAGAAAAGAAAAAAGACGGTGCATTTTCATCTACCTGATTATCTACTTTTTAGAGGGCATTTTCAGCATTGCTCTGTTTTTATATCAGGGTGTGTTCTTATCTAAGGTAGACAGTTTTATAAAGAGCCTGAATCTAGTCATTGCGCAGAATGATTAGAGCTTCTATTTAAATAGATTTTATTGGCACTACAGACGATGAAATTTGAATAAAAGCCTATTTAGAATAAAAGAACAGTCTAAAAGGTAGAGATGCCCAAAGTATCTTTTAGCTCTAGCACATACATTGGTATTTACTGCGCAGACTGTGTTTCTCTGCTGTAGAGCTGTCTAGTTAGCTAAATTTGTAGATCCAGTGCTGGAAATGGAATGGTTATTACAGCCAGAAACATAAGCCAAGTTTTAAAATAAATAGATTTCACTTTTCACTTTTTAAATGACACATAGCACAGAAATAGCCCATACCAAAGAGGACTCAAAGTGCAGGGTTCTTATTGTAAATGGAGGCTCTTTCGGAAAACGAATAAAGCACGAGCTGGAGAAGAAAGACATACGAGGAGTTCATCTGGTGTCTACAGAGTGCTGCACACAAAAGAGAAACACACTGTACAAAACCTTTATCCATGCAGCAGCAGAAGTCATAGACAGAAAGCAGTACTACAGCGACTATTCGATCAAGATAGAAAAAAGATCGAAGATAAACTGGATAGAGATAAGGGATAGAATAAAGGAAAAAATAGCACAGGTAGAAATGAAACAAGCTCCTGTGAGCACATGCACAGTTAAAGAGATGAACCAGAAGATATACATAGATAGCGAAGAGTGCAGTGCAGAAAACATCATTATGGTCAATTCACATGTCTCAAGTGAAATCGGTTTCAACAATATATGGATTAAGTTACTGGAAATGGAAAGCCTTCCCAAGCGAGTTTTCATCAACGGGTGCAACAAGCACTCAATTGAAGCAGCCTCAATGCTCTCGGATCTAGGCAGTAAAGTCTATCTAATGTCTCCAGGAAAAGATTTAATGGTTGGCTACGACAAAAATATCCAGGAGTCAGTAAAGTCCATCCTATTGGACAAGGGAGTGACTCTTTTTTTCAACTCCTCCCTAGCAGATAAAGACGTGCTGAATAAGCCAAAAATAAGAGTGCGGATGCCCTCTGGAATAGATCACGCAGTGGAGAACGTTGATTTATATCTGTATGAACACGAGCACTCGCTTTCGAAAGTCAAAAAAGGAAGCCAGTACGTTTTTAAGGTAGCAGAGCCTAGTAAAAAGATAGGCGCAGCAGAAATATCTCTTCTTTGCTCGATGTATCCGAATGTATTTACGCCAGAAATGGACTACAAGCCATATGTACCCTGCTATATATACACGAGCCCGCCTGTAGCTGTCATAGGATACACAGAAGAAGAGGCTATTAAGCGCTACACAAAAGTAAGAACTACAAGCTCGAAGTTTAGAGGACTTTTTTACTCGGTGTGCCAGAACAAAGTGCCAACAGACTACAAAATTATATATGCATGCGACATTGATAAGGAAATAAACAACGAGGAGAAGCTAGTTGGGCTGCACTTGTTTGGAAAGAGCAGCATCGATGTAATTAAAGGATTTGCGATAGGAATGCACTGCGGCATTTCACCGGAAGAGATTCTGAAAACAATTCCAATACATCCCACGTCCTCAGAAGAGGTAATAACTGGATGAGAGCAGTGAAGAGTTCTACAAGAATGTTCGTGTGTCTATTAAAAATAAAACACACAACTCCGATCTTTCTTTGTCTTTTTTTGAATGTTCTTGCACAGTACTAGTCTGACTTTTAATTAACCCTCTAGAGAAATCCTATGCAGTAGCGAAGAAATAAAAAGTAGCAGAAAAAGACAAGTTGTGAGAGTGCTTAAGCTATGGAAAAACATTCAATAAAAACAGGACTTTCGTGTACAGTTTATTCTTATCAAATACTCCACAGAAAGAGTAGAAAATATTCTCATTGCCGTGCATGAGTTAGTAGAGAAAATATATTTACCTTTTTAGCACTGCCAATTACTTCGCATTTTCAGAGTCTTGGTTTTGCATTTTTTTAAATAATGTACGATCTAATTGCAGTAGGTGGAGGCAGTGGGGGCCTTGCTCTATCCAAAAGATCCACCAGTATTTATGGAAAGAGAGTGCTGCTAATCGATAAAACAGTTCTTGGAGGAACGTGTGTGAACAACGGGTGCATCCCTAAGAAAATGCTGTACAATGCAGCGTATCTACACTCAGAGGCAGAGTGCATAGACAGACATTCTGAAATAGAGTTTGACTGCAACCAGTTCAGAGAAAAAAGAGAAAAGTACATAGCCTTTTTGAATAACATGTACGCTGAGAGAAATAAAAAAGACGGGGTAAAAACTGTCACAGGCACAGCAACTGTGCACAAGGACAGGGTGGAAGTCAATGGAGTAGAGTACAAAGGAAGCCACATTGTACTGGCAATGGGCTCATATCCTAAAATGATCGACTGTTTAGGAAATAACAATCTGCTGTCCAGTGATGACTTTTTCAGGTTTGAAAGCATACCCAAGTCAGTGGCCATCATAGGCACAGGATACATTTCAATAGAAACAGCCTTTGTGCTAGCTGAGTTCAAGTGCAAAGTCACTCTGATAGCAAGGAGAGAAGGCGTGCTTCGGGCATTTGACACGCTAATACAGAAGAAAGTGCAGAAATCGCTGGAGTCAAAAGGCATCAGACTGATTGAAAATGCCACAGTCGTAAGCCTACAGGAGAAAAACAGAGAAATAAATGTGGAGATCAGCCACAAAGAGTCGCAAGAGCACGAGAATATTGTGGTGGAAAAAGTGATATGTGCAGTTGGAAGAGCAGCTAATACGAAAAGCATAAAAAACCCAGAGATAAAAACAGACGCAGCTGGCTTTGTGGAAACAGACAACCTGTTTAGAACATCAGCAGAGGGCGTGTATGCAATTGGAGACATAACAATGGAAGAGAGCATGCTCACGCCTGTGGCCATTTTTTCAGGAAGACGGCTGGCTGATTACCTATTTGGGAATAGCCCTAAAAACATAAAAAAAATGATCAGCTCCGTGCCCACTGTTGTTTTTTCGCATCCTCCTGCAGGCTCAGTGGGGTATTCCGAAGAAAAAGCCCGCGATCTATGCAGTGCAGTGTCTGTGCACATTGCAGAGGTAGATCATCCGTCATCTCTTTTCTCCACTGAAAAAAACTCCTATAAATTTATATACGATAGCGAAACAAGCGAGCTGCATGGCGTGCACGTGCATGGCTATGAGTGCGATGAAGTCCTGCAGGGATACTCAGCACTGGTGCGAAATGGCATTAAATATTCCAAAATCCGCGAATATCTGGAGACAATAGGAAGCGAAGAAAGCGAGTTTTTATCGGGGGCATTTGAATAAACATAGGCTAAGGTTGGAGTTATAAATACATGCACCGTTTATTATTGCTCTTTTTCTATTGTTTCGTACTCAAACGGTTTTCTTGCTTTTTTCAGCTCTTCGTTTGTCAATAGAAGCTCTTTTGCTCTGGTGTACTTTCTTCTGTCTCTTTTTATGGTGTACATGAGATCGTCTGTTTTAGTTCTTCCTCTGGACTTTGACACTGTCTTTGCCTTTTTCAAGATGGTTGTCAGATAGTGGCATAGATAGTCGTGAATCACAGTGGCAGAGTCTAGCCGCGGATTTACTGTGTCTCCCAGCGAATACATCAGAAGACGAATTTCTCTTATAAAGTTTGGCTTTCTTTCTTTCATTAAAATTTTATTATTTCGCCAATGTAAATACAGACTGTAAAAGCCAATATCTATCTATATCTCCTACTTCTATCTACGAACAACTTTTTAGATAGACTATATCATGTGTACAGATGCATACACACTCTTTATCACTGATTCATGGATCTTTAAAAATGCACATTAAATGACCAAAGTTAATCAGCTGTACACATACGCCTCTGCATTGCACAGAATTATAAAAGAAAAGTATACACTTAAAAGGTTTTAGCTATTTTTGTTTTTGTAGATGGCGCTGAAGTTTTTAAAATACTTTGAGTTTTGCAAATTAACTCCGCTGCTGCCTCCTTCTACCCGCTCTCTTTTGTACACATATTCATCCTTATCTAAGACATCTGTGGTATACTGTACATACTGCTCTCGTATGTGCGGGGGTAGAGCAGACAAGTCTACATTTGTCTCTTCATAATCCCAGGGGTCTTTGTGTGCCATATGCACTTTGATGAGCCTATAAAACAGATTCTCCTGTTTTTCTTTGGTTTTTGACTTTTTTACATTCATCAAATACTCGTCAAATATGAAAGAGTATACGGACTGAGCACATGTCTCTGCCTTCCGAAATACGCCCATGTTGTAGCTGTACGGGCCCATGTACACAAATAAATCTGTGTACTCCTCTTTGATCAACTCTCTATAGCTGTCATTGGCGCACGGATCAGAAAGTAGCACAGATAGCCGGGATATGATGAGAAGACATCTTTTATAGAGCTCTCTCTTCTCTTCTTTTTTCACGATGTTTTTCAGCAAAACTGCACACTCGTATGCAGCCACGTACTTTCTAGAGTGGCACAGAGCCTGTATGTCTCTCCACAGAACATCTTTGCTCTCGGAGACTGGCTTGTAGCGGCTCTGCAGTGATTTTTCTGGGCCTATTGCCAGAGCCTCGAGCGCAGTTATTTTTCTGAACATAAAAAGAAATTGGCTGGCTAAGATTTTCTCGGGTTATATTCTTGTTTTTTTAAAATTGGAATGAAGTGTTTGGTTGTTTTAAAAAACGTGCTGGCGGTTTCCGAAGCTGAAAAAGAGCTGATAGACGTGGTGGAAAAATACTACGACGTAGAAGTAGCAGACAACTCCGTTATGCTAGAAAACCAAAAAGGGTACAGCGGGAGCAGATATTCCGTTATTATAACGTCAGGCGGGGACGGAACAGTGCTCAAGACCCTGTCCATATGCACAAGAAAATTAGCCTCTCTCCAGAGCGCAAAATACACAGACCACATTTCCAAAAACGGATGGCCAATGTGGGTTGATAAGATCGAGAGAGATGGATCGTTTGTGCGCGCAGATACAATTCTGCCCATTGTATTCGCATTTGACTGCGGAGTCAGAGGAAGACTGTGCCCCATCAAGAAACATCTGTTCAAAAAGGGCCAGAGTCTGCTGGTTGATCTACTAAACTCCATGAAACAGGACAATTTTGAAGTAGTAGATAATTTTTACACAAATAACACGATAAGAAGATCAAGGTTTATTGTCAACAAGAGCGTGCATGTGTCCAACGAGATATACGTATACTCTAGAGAAAAAGGGTTCCTAAGCGTGCTTGATATTAGCGTAAATTCGCAGACGGTCTACAAAAATATTCGGTGTGATGGGCTGATTATAAGCACAGGCACAGGATCAAGCGGATATAACGCGTCTGCAGGAGGGCCTATTCTGCACAATAACGTAGATGCGGTTGTAATCACAGCGGTGTCAGCAGCAGACAAAAAAGTCTCGCCAATCGTTATCAGTCTGCACGACTCTGAGGTGCGCATACAAAACTCTTTTGAAGGACAGAGTTTGTTCGCTGTCATCGACGGGTGTCTGCAGGTGGAAGAGACTGCATTTGCAATTGCAAAGTCCGATTACGGAGCCATTTATTTTGCTGATGTAACATCCAGTAAAATACATAATGATTTTTTGTGTGCTATACAGGAGTAAGGAGAGCCCCCTCAGTCTGCAAGATAAATTCGAAAAGAAAACAAGGAGATTAAATGGAGGAAAAAGACGCAAGCATAGAGCTTCTTAGAAAGACGGTAAAAGAGCTTCTGAGCTTTGTGGAAGAGGCAGATAAAATGCCGAAAGAAAGCTTTCAAATGCAGAAGTTTTTTATAGATAACAGAAACAGAATTTCCGAGCTTGGAAGAATAGTAGTTACAATGGCCGGAATGCCCGCTGACTCGCTGGAGGCTCTTAAGTTCGGAAGACTCTTTGTTTCGAACTACATATGCAGCAACATAGTGAGCACACAGTTTTTGACGAGAGTGCTGACAGATGAAGTGGCAAAAGAAGTGCTCAAGGAGGAAATTATTTCATTCGTTAAATCACTGACGGTGTATCTGGAGAAAGATAAAGAAAATCTCTTGATGACGATACAGAAAGAAAAGGATCTGCTGCAGAAGCTCAAGGACTCAGAGAAAGCTGCAAAAAGCGATCCTGAATGGACAAAGGAAATAGAGATTCTTGAAAAAAGAATAAAAAACATTTCAATACTTGTTTTAGATAAGAAAGCAACAGAATCCTCTAGAAAGAGAATAGAAAGGATAAAAGAACAGAACAATCCAGACTTTATAGAGCTAATGGAAAGTCTATCCCGGCTTAAGTGCTTCTGCAGTTTTAGGAAAAACAAAAAACCGTCAAAGTACGCCTTGCTAAGGGAGACAACACTGCACATTCTTGAAACCGAGCAGATCTGCTATATTTCGGTCATGCCCTTTCTCTGCCAAGAGAACAAGAAATTCAACATTGAAATGTGCTCGCCCACTGGACAAGATGTAGAGTTCATTCCAACTGCAAAAAAGTACATCGAGTATATTTTCACAGAGCTTATGAAAGCATCGCCAGAAAATTCATCGAACACAATCGAAATGTGCCTAAAAGAGTACAGAGAAACAGGGACGTATAAGAGAGAGCACATACAGGATGTTCTGCTAGAGCACAGCCCGCCCAGAGCTGCCTCCATTCAGAAGGCAATGGAGTCCTTGACCAACACAATTTTTTACATAAACATTGTTCGGTGTATCTACTTGGTGATACATGATTTTGCGTACCACAGCATGCTTAAGTACAAAAAAACTGAAAAGATAGATCTCTCGCTGATTTTCCTTCGAGAAAACAAGAAATATCACAACAAGCTCATAAGGCAGTACGTCAGTAAGATGGAGAAGTCAGAGAATATTTCAGAAGAGCCAAAGGAAAAAAACAAGAAGCATCTTCAAAATTACTCTTTTTTGGTTGATAGAGATGCCATTTCAAGTAAGTTTCATCTGGTGCGGGCAATCTCGCATGGAATATTTACAGAAGAAAACATCTTGTCTGAATACTTCAAAGAATACCACACTCTGAGAAGGTCTGTTTTAAACACCCTTCTAGACATTCTTTCCAGAAAAATATCCAGCCAGGTATATGAAGAAATGCTGGAAAAAAAAGGTAAACACAAAAACGTAAACCAGATGAAGAAAGAGTCACGGGAGACTCCTAAGGAGCTGTCGGCTCTGGTTCGTCGAAGAATACTCAGCACTCTGCAATCAGTAGCAACCAGGTTTATGAAAACTAAAAGCATAAAACCGCGAGCATTCTTATACTCTATACATTCGAACGAGTTTGAGAAAAGAGGGCTTCCTCGATACCATAAAGAAATGTACATGTTTCTTATGCTGGCTCTTCCTCTTTTCGCCTTTTCTTCTAGCATTCTAGGAAAAACACTGCAATAAAATAATATAATTTATTCACTATCCACTGCCAACTTTGAACTTACAAAGATATTCCTATATTGCAGAAAACAAGAGACTAAGCTAAACCAACCTACTACTCCTGGTATAATTCAGATACTCTGCTCTATCATAGACATCCATCTATGGAATTTGATCTTCGCAATCGTGCAAACAGGCGCGCTCTGTGAGAGAGATCTGCCGAGTAGAAATGATTAAATTGTATTGTATAATTCTTGAATTTGTTTGCCAAATAAAGACACTATTCTGTTCCTGATTTTTTTACCGGATGGAGTAAGCAGATCGTTGTCAATTGTAGCAGCTGTGTTGGTGAAAACAAATTTCTTTGGTATTTCTATTTTGATGAGCTCGCCCGTCTGGACAAGCCTGTCTCCTTCCTTGAATATCTCATCTGTTACACTTTTCTTCACGTCCTCTATGTCTCCGTTTATTGTGCAGAGCCCTATCACATAGTCTCGCGTGCTGTCTCCTACAATTGTGATGTCGTCCAGATGTTTGATCTTTGCCGCCAGAATGAGATTTTCTATTTTTTCCGGTATGATGTACTCTCCCTGCGAAAGCTTGAAAATTTCTTTGCTCCTTCCAATAATTCGCAGGTTCCCTTGCGCTGTTATTTCTCCAATGTCTCCTGTTTTAACCCATTTATTTCCTTTTTCGTTATAAATAGAGCTCTCTTTCCCGTCTGTGTTGTCTTCGTAGAAACAGTCTTTTGTAAGCTTTTCCTGCTGGTAGTATCCCAAAAACACTGAGTGTCCCTGCATCAGTATTTCTCCTTGGTTTTTTTCAGCGAATACATTCGACTCTGGCCGCGACACAAGCTTAATCTTGTTGCAGGGGAACGGAATTCCAATGACCCCTTTTTCGTTTGTGAATATGTCCGTTGTGATATTTCCAGCAGCTGTCTCTGTCTGGCCATACCCCTCAAACATCGGGCAGTTGAAGATCGCCTCAAAGAACAGCGCACAGGGGGCAGACAGCGGTGCAGACCCTGACAGCATGCACTTAATTGACCCGCCGAATGTTTCTCGGATGGTTTTGAAGACAGTTCTTCCGAATATTTCTCTAACCACCCTGTTCTTAAATATCATGCATATCAAAAGAGAAAACGTAAATATGAAATTTGCTATCTTCCCCTTTTCTTTGGCTTTTGTTTCGATTGCAGCCTTTACCGAGTTGAAGACTCTTGGCACACCCACAAAAAAGTTTGGTTTGGAGATGCTAAAATCTTTTTGCAGCTGTTTTGGGTTTCCTCGGTAGTATATAATCTCGCACTTGCTCAGGAGCAGAGCCGACTCAACTATTCTTTCAAACACGTGTGCTAGGGGCAGGAACGAGAGGTATCTGTCTCCACTCTCAATGTCGAAAAAGACGCCCTTTTTGGAGAGGAGCAGAAAAGCTGCAATCACAGAAACAAAGTTTCTGTGCATTAGCATCGCTCCCTTGGGGGCTCCTGTAGTACCGCTTGTGTAGCAAATAGTTGCAACTGTTTCTGCCTTTGGGGCAATAAAGTGCTCCTTTACTCTCTTTGCTGAAGCTTCTGTGGGTTTTTTGAACTTGTTGCTTATTGGCTCTTCTTTTTCTTCAGTCTCTTTCTCTTCTTGTTTTTTTTGCTCTGGTTTTTGTTCTGTTACTTTTTTACATCTTTTCACAATGTCCCAGAAATAGTACAGCTCAGACCCAAATGCGCTGAGCACCTTGTGTGCACTGTCAGATAGGTTGGCATCCATCAGCACAAACACTTTTGGCACGCTGACCTGCACGCTGTCTTCGCTTTCGAGGTTCTTTGCGATCTTCTCCGCGTTTTTTTCAGATACAAAAATTATCTCCATTTTTGTCTCGTTGAAAATGTGTTTTGTTGCGCTCCATCCAAACGATGCATATATTGGGCAGTTTATCCCGCTGAAAAAGTATGTTGCGTGCTCTGCTATGATCCACTCGGGCCTGTTCTCTGAGCATATTCCTACAATAGGTTTCTTGTTTTTGTCCGAGCAGTCTGTGTGCGCAAGAATGAACTTGGCTACTTCTTCCGCGTATCTGCGGGTCTCCTTGAACGTCAAATACTCAATCTTTTCTTTTTCGTTTATTCGTCCCAGGAAGTTGGAGTCTCCGTGGCTTTCGCAAACACTTTTTAGCGCATCGAAAAGAGTTGCACACTTTCCCACCTTCTCTATCAGCTCTCCCTTGCCTTCACTCTTTACGTGCGAATGGACGTACACACTCGTTTCGTTCTTTTTTGGATTGTTTTCAGACTCTTTTATCATGCGAAAATGTCTAGCACACATTGCAAACTACAGAAATAAAATTAATTAATACTTTGATTATTTTCCCAAAGATTAAAAAAACACGAGCTCATCTGCCTCCATCCGAGCATGCATAAAGTGAAATAGCACAGAAGCAGCGCAGATAAACTCATCTGTGCTCAGACAAATCCACAGCAGCTATCCCATTCCTAGAGAAATTACTCTCTCAAATGCATTTACATCAAGGCCTCTGAAACTTGCAGCTGGAGGAGTGTGCTTCACCAGAGAGAGTTTGGTTGGGTGTCTGTTAAAACTGTGCAAGTTTCAGAATGAACAAATCGGCGCTCTGCAGAATTAAAAGGTAGAAAGTCCTGGGAGATATGGACAGAAATCACAGAGTTGTTGTGGGGCTCAGAATAAAGCCTCCTGCCATTGCAGATGCTCCGTGCCCGCACGCAGACAAAGTTTTCTGGAAGCACACAAACAAAGAAATATACGACGAGTTTATACACCCCCACACAGCGAGCACAGAATTTTCCACAGTGTTCACATACGGAAGAACAGGCAGCGGGAAGACATACACGATGTTTGGCGGTGAAAAGATGCCAGGGGTTGCAGAGCTGATGCTCACAGACATTTTGAAGTCGCACAATGTTCTAACGGTCAGGTGCACTGAAATCTACAACGAGGTGGCCACAGATCTGTTCACAGGAGTTCAGATCAGAATAGTGCAGGAAAACAATGCCATTCGGATTATAAGCGAAACACAGGTTACAATAAAGTCTGTGGAGGAGATTAAGAATCTGCTGCGGACTATCGATAAGAAGAGAAAAACATCTGAGACAGAGCACAATCTGAACAGCAGCAGAAGCCACACGGTAATTGAGATAAATGCTGTGGATCTGTCGGTTAATCTTGTAGATCTTGCAGGAAATGAAAAGATGGCAGAAGATTTGGCGAGAAGAAAAGAGGGCCTTATGATCAATAAGAGTCTTTTGACACTCGGAAAAGTAATAGACCAGCTGCACACAGACACACAGCATGTCTCCTACCGAGAGTCCAAGCTGACGAGAATATTGCAGAACACGCTCAGCTACGGAACAATAGTCTGCATATGCACTGTTATAGATCTCTCCGATCACTTGACAATTAAATTTGCAGAAAGACTCAAGAGAATAAAAACAATGGAAAGAGCGATTGTAAAGTCAAAAGACGAGATAATAAACGATCTAACCCAAAAGATAGCATACCTGACAGAACAACTGCAGAGCATGCACAAAGGCGCAGAAACACCGCTGGAGATTGAAGCAAGAAAAAATATCTGTAATGAAGAGGTGTCTGAGGTCTTTGACGGTGCACAGGGCCCAGAAAGTAGCTTGGAAAAAAAAGAGAAAGAGATGGAGGAAAAAGAGAGTGGGCAACTAGTTGTGCTAGAGAATAAAAAATGCGAGCCATCCACTGCGCATGCTGTCATTGAAAATATGGCGGAATCAGAAAATGGCGGACTATCTGCCAATCTCTACGAAATGATATACAAATATCTAAAAGTGGAAGCAGAGCAAGAAATGTCAAACACTCTCACGCAGCAGGAGATGGACCAAGTTCACGTGACTATTATGAAACGAAAGAAAGGCCTTCTGCACGGGACTCCCTTCCACAGCATATTCAAACTATCTCGGACCGAAATGCGGTCTAGCAAGAGCGACCGGCAGACTGAAGATAAGTAATCTCTGGTCGTAGCAGAAACTCTCTAAATTTCAGTAAAAATTAACTGTAGCAGAATAGCATAATCTAAGAAGATCTAATAAATGGTGTTTTTATTGCACGATTCAATAAATGACTGAATTGTACGCATTCTTCTGTTCTTGCAGGACAGTCTGTGTCTCCTGTATAATTGTCTCTTTTATTTTTCTTCTGTTTTCCAGACATGACTATCTTTTTTATTGAGGAGCTATATCTTTTTCGTTGTTGATCTTCTGATAAACACATCAGGGGCCAGAATGGAGTACTCCGCTTCGCTCAGGGGGTCTTCTGCAAATGCTTCGCATGACTCTATAAACTCTTTTGTTCCTTTGGCTTCCTTACTACTGAATATGCTATCGTACATGTCTTTGTTTTCTACAATATGTTCTGTCTCGTCTTCTGTCCTGGTGATGGATAAGTTCCCTATCTCCTCCGACAGGTTTAGTGAGTCATTTTCAGTTAGCTCGTCTTTCTTCTCCGCTTCACTGTACTTGATGTTTTTGCTGGCGCTCAGGGGAGTGTTTGTAGACTCTCTTTGTCTTTTTTTGATCACTGGTGTTTTCCTTGGAGTCCACTCTTTTTTCATGCCTTCTTCAATTTCTTTTTTGTGCATTTCCAGCCGGTGCCCGATTCGCTCCAGCGAGTATCCTGGCTTAAGAGAGGGCCGTATCACGCTCTCGCACGGCATATTCGAGACAATTGACCGAAGAGGCCCTCTTATTATCACATTTGCTCCTGAGTCTTTGATCTTGATCGCACTTGTGTTGGGAGACAGGCGCACACTTGATATTACGCTTGGCTGTATATTTATGTCATTTGCAGCTACTGAAACCTTTTCTTCCTTTTCAGGCAATTCTTTTGTTTTTTCAGGCTGGCTATTTGATAGCCCTATAAAAGCTTTTCTGTCCAGCTCAGAAAGCTTTGCCATTCCTTCTCTGGCCTTTGCTCTTATCTCTGGGTTTACGTCGTCCACCAGAGTTTCCAGAACTTCCACTAGCTCTTTTATTCTCTCTTTCTCTATTCCCCTAACTGCCATCTCCAGCAATCCCTGGCGCACCGTTTTGCTTTGGCTCGCTACATTCAATCGAATTTGCTTTGCTATCGCCCTCAATGAGCACGTGCTGGCTATGGTGCTTGCTGTGCCCATGGCTCGCATGAATATCACCTTGTTTGTCTTCCCCAGCGCGCTCATCAGAGACGTGAAAATCTGCGGTAAATGCTCCTTCAGCTCGTCTCCCAGATTTTCAAAGAGCTTGGACAGAGCCTTGCAGCCTGACCCGCTGAGCTTACTTCTGTTGCTCTGCACGCCCATGCACATAAGCGGTACCAGCTGCACTATTTCCTGAGCTTCTTCTTTTTTATTTATCTCTGACACTCTTTCCAGTATTTCATCTATTTTGTTCCAGTTATTTTCTGTTTCTTTCTCCTTCTGCAGCAGCTGCCCTTTTTTCAGTGTCTCTGCTACACTTTCTGCTCTCTTCATAATTAAAAAAATAATTCAATTCCAGCTCATATGCTACACAAAAACTTTTATTTAAATTTAAACACACCGGCATATTCTGCTGCTCTACTGCACAAATAATAATTTCTAACTGCTAGCTAAAATCACCCAGAATACATTAAGATAAGTAAAACTATTTATATACTGATGTACCTCTAAAACACCTTCCATCTCAGGGCTTGGCTATCTTTTGGAGAAGCTTTGGGGCGTACTTCTTTATGTTGAACTTTGCAAAGATCTTTGGAGAAAGACCTACATCGCACAGGATAGCATTTCCGCTGAAATCCAACGGCTCTCTCACAGGCACTCCGAAAAAGATAACTTCCTTATTTGGCGTTGGAATATTCTTGTAGTCACCTAAAAAGATAACACGCTCTGCCCCTGTGACCATCTCTTCCTTCACATCAGTGTCTGCTATTATTACAATAGGCTGTCCTGTTCTCTTATTGGTGATTTTTCCGTTATTTGCTTCGTAGTAGAAGAGCTCTTTGGCTATCCGCTGGGTCTTCGCCAGGGGAACAAGAGACACATCTGTTCCGTACAGCATGCACAGCCTAGCCAGCACTATTCCTATCTCTGAAAACACTCCAGAGCCCGTATATACAATGAACTTTTTATCCATAAGCCTGAATATGTTAACGAACAGATGGAGCACTCCTCTCGCACCTGAGTATATTATCTCACTGCGAGATGGCCCGTAGACCGTGTCTGATAGGTCAACCATCTTCATATATACATCCTCTGAGAGATATGACAGAGGCTTTGATCTTTTATCATCGTCTTTCTGTTTTGTCTTCTGGGGAGTGTTTGGCCTCTGGAGAATCTGGCTGTCTTCCTCTGCGAGTAGCTCCACCTCGTCTATTTCTGTGAGCTCAATTGTCTTTAGCATCCCAGACACCTCCACGATCATCTTGTTGTTTTCAGGTTCTATCTGCTGCAGCCGCCCGATGTGCGTGGCTGTGTTGGTTTTTATTATAAGACATGCTCCTATATACTCTTCCATGGTTGCTAAAAAATTTAGTGAATAAATATGGACAATAAATTGCCGCTGGCTGCTTTGGAAAAGATCACAAAGGAGACAAATATCTTGATGGAGCAGTACAACAAGTCTGTGGAGGCCCTTAAAACCTCCTACGATGACGCGCATAAGCTCCGGAAAGAGTTTTTGGTGACGGGCATTGAATTTACAAAAATAATAGAGAACGGGAGCAAAACAGAAGAAAAAATAGTAGAGTCGTACACAAAATACAAAAAACTGCTGGAAGACAGAGCAAACCTTTCCAAGGCTCTTCTATCAGAGATCAACACAGTTCTTGTCTCTGTAGATGAGCAGCTTCTTCTTCTAGATTCGCCGTACGAGCCTAAGTTTGGAATTCAAACACAAAATCCTCGGGTTTTCAAGACAAATAAAAGCAATCCCAACCGAAATGCAAATTCAGAGGATGCGCCGGTATCAGGAGGGAGCTATTGCATATGCAATGGGCCTGCGTACGGAGACATGGTGGCATGCGATGCCTTCCACATGGAAATACCTTGGTACCACATGGAGTGTGTTGGGCTGTCTGGAACACCCCGGGGGCATTGGCTCTGTCCTAAATGCAAGCCCTCTGAATAGCTGAAAATAAGCTGTATTGTTCAGGCTGTTATATCTATTAAATATCATGTGTATCTCTTTTACGATTTACTTTATCTCAATGCACTTTCATTCGTAGCAATACTATGTCCAATGTAGCGTCTTTTTGTGTGCAGGACATCTTCTCTACCGTGCTTAAAAAGACCGAATAATTCTGCTGCATAATTTTCATAGTGTATTCTGCTTTTATTAAAATGAAACAAGACCACTTCTTATTTCTGTACGCCTTCTATAAAAATATTAAATTATTTCTTGCATTGAGCAGTTCAAGAATGAAAGAGTATTGATCTGCACTTATTTCTTTTAATCTTTGATTTACATTGCTATGTTAAAAAGCTGAATGTACAGAAACTGTACTTGGGATACTGATTCACTTCCTAAACAACTATGGGAGTAGTTCAATGTTTTTCATTAAGATCAAATTAATCTCTAAAAGAACTATATTGCTGTAAAGACGTGTGTAATAGCTCATACAAGTCTTTGTATGTGCATATAATCATTTATCACTGTGAGATAAGTCTATTTGGAAGAAATGAATAAAGCTTCTGCAATGGACAGCCATGTTTAAACGTACTTTTATTGAACTATTTTGTAGCAGAATTTTTAATCCTGCAGCTTCCTGCTCTACAGCTGCTGCTTCTTTAGAAATTACCGCACAAACAAAAACTAGCATACATTCATTAATACTTTTCTTTTCAGAGATGCGTTCTCTTGCTTATGAACGCGCTTGCGCCTCCTATCAGCGATGCTTCTTCTGAAAACTCAAATAGCACCCTGACTTTCTCAAAGCCTTTTCTGGAAGGCATTTTGCTCAAAATATACATTATTTTCTTCCCCACCTTCTCCTTAAACTCTTCTGTTTGGCATCCAGAGCCTGTAAGACCAAACCTGTAGACACCGTTGTTGCTTGCGTCGTCTCTCTCGCATTTGGATATAATTCCTGCCATAAGCCCTGCAGAAATCATGTACTTTCGCTCAAATGCCTTTCTAACAGCATTATTGACAGTTTCTACCAGCTCATCCACTTTGCCTGCATTGTCTGAATTTTTCTGCAGGTATGTTTCGAACAGCTTTTCAATATCATCTTTTATCTTTTCTCTGCTCAGCCGGCTGTTTGATAGAGTAAATCCCTTCAGATCAAGCTCTTTTACAGATTCTTTTTCAAAGATTCTCTCTATCTCTTTTCTAAGATAGATGTTTATGTACTGCTCAAAATACAAGCCACCCACCATGTGCTCCAGACAAAATTTTGCATTCTCTTTTTCCAGTATGTTCTTGGCCATTTCCCTGTCAACTTCGTCCATGTATTTTCCTATGTTACCAAACTCAAAAGACGCACCACACTCGGTGTTAAGAATGCTCTTAGTGCTTTGGAGTGCACCTCTGCTGCTCTTCTCCTGCTTTGTCTCCAGATACGAGCAGTTCAGCCCAGTGCCCAGCACAAATCCTCCAACTGCATCGGGGTATGTAGAGCATGCCCACGCGCCCAAGGCTGTGGTGTCATTTACTATCACCTCAAACTGCACAGTATCTGCGGTCAGCTTATTCAGCTCATCGAGAGGTATTTCGTCACCTACACTGTTTATCTTTGCCCATTTGAACTGTTTTGTGAATTTAACTACTTTCACTTTGTCCCCAACATTTTCAATTGGGTACGAGAATGTCAGAGCGCCCTTCATTACTTTGCCACCAGCTTTTCCTGTGGCTCTGTTCTCAGACACAAAGCTGTTTATCTTTTCGCTCATAAATTCATATATTGTTCTGTTCTGTATTGCTTTGCTCTCTTTTGGTATGTCGTACTTCCTTATCTCTTCCGTTATCTTTACGGTTTTTCTGTTTTTTTTGTTGACCTCGTAAATGCCCATTTTCAAACTAGTTCCTCCCAGATCAACACACAGTATCTTCTGGTCCTCGCTTTCGCTCCCAATGGCTGCACTTTCGTTCTCTTTTTCATTAAAAGCCTCTTCTCCTAATAAGGGGTTTTCCCTTTTTTGGCATCTATTACTCTTTGGAGAAAGATCCATTAGAAACTGTGACCTAAAAATAGATGACTCTTTGTCTTGTATCCCCGCCTCTAGATACTCTTTGAAGCTAGTTGCCAGATCTACTCCTAGCTTGTTTTTATCTGAGCCATCATCTTTGGCGCTAGCACAGCAGCACAAATTTCCCATAAGTACCCCGAATATCAATTTTTTAACTGTGCGCGAAACCATCCACCAATTAAAAAAACAAAATTTATATTTAAAGTTTTATTAGCATTCCAATAAACAGCGCAATTAATTGGGCTGGGATAATATTGATTTTTATTTAAATTGCACAATTAGTAAGAATTAAGACATTAATTAGTGCACCCTAGCCCACAGGGTATTTAAAAGATACACAATCTTTGTAGATCAGTAGAGTATAAACTGTTTCAACAATACCGCATGTGCTGGGTATAGAGCCATTTATTTTACCATATTTTTACACTCTTTCTTCTGCTGCAAAGATATAACAATAAAAGTAATTCAAGTGTCCATCCACCTATTGAAAGAAAAGGTTTAAGCGCCTAGTGAAAATAATATTGCACAAAAAAGAAGAAGAACCAATTTATTCCTGCTATCCTTGGCTGTACTAAACTGTGCAGCACCATGGAGAGATTCGGCATGCTGTATGACAATAATATACTAGATAATCTGAGCTAACCGCTGATGTTTCCTAGTTCCAAATGTGCTCTTTGCACATTTCCAGCAGAAATTTTCCATCTTCTCCAAAAGACGTAAAGATCGTATCTTCCATTTTTTCATCATTGCTGTACATGTATATAGACGTGAGTAGCTCAACCACCCTATCTATATCTTTTTCCTTGATAAACTGCTCGAGTGTTTCTTTGATTTTGTAAAACACACTGAGCACGCGGTCTGTGTACACCTCCAAAAAGAGCTTAACACACCAATGGCTGTTCTTTCTCCTTTCTTTAACTGAGGAAATCACAGCACACTCTCCAATGCTGGGGTCTTCTCTTTCAAAGTACTCCAGCAGTGTGGTGTCTGCTGTTGGGTACCGCATTGTCTTCATTAGACAGCATATGTGCAGAATGTACCGCGGTGAAATATTTCTCTCAATGGCCGTAATGTTAAGAAGCGCCAATGCTAGGCTCTTTTCCTGCATGCTGAACCCATTTCCTGAGCACATGTGCTCCAGTCTTCGCAGTAAATCCATTATTTCGTGCGGTTTAATCTCGTTGTACTTCCCGCGCAGGATGGCGCTGAGCTTCTGCGCTGTCTTGAGGTCAAGGCTTGTAAAGCGCAGCGCATCCTTATTCCACATGCTGTATGGAGTCCGCGGGGTGGCAAAGGACGTAAAGATAGCGTTCTCCATTAGCCCTTCATCGCACGCCTCAGGACTTTGGCTGCTTCTGAGCAAAAGCACATCGTAGATTGTGTATATAATGGAAGGGTTGTATTTTGCGATTGTTTCCAGTCTTTCTGAATCTATGTTCTTCAGGGCATTTACTATCTCCTCGTGGGTAACAAACGGAGCCTTGCTCAGATACTCCAGAATCACAATGTCGCTGCAGTCGGCGCTTAGAACAGTTTTATCTTGAGATGTAAAAACATCTTCGTGCTCAATGGACATTAAAAAAAATATTTGGTCTTTTCTTAAATCACGAAATAAAAATACAAGCCATTGGTTATTTGCATTTAAAAATAAGCAATTTGGTGCCCCTGACTATGAGCGAAGTAATAGTTACATTTCGAAACATGAAAGACAAAGACTTTGTCACACCGCCTATGCAGGTGCCTGAAGACTTCACAGACGCACAGATGGAGCAGTTTCTTAACGCATTCCTCAGCCACGACAAGTCGTATGCTTTTTTCTACAACGGAGAGCAGATCCAGAAGATTCCTTCTGCAGAAAAAGAGCAGACCATCGAGATAGAGTTCATTGCAGTGACGAAAATTCTATCAGAGAGCGCAAAAATAGACGTGAACACGCCAATTACCTCCATCTCCATTCGAAGGAATCCTGAAATCCACATAGACACCGTGGTGATATGCAACACTGCAGGAGACACCAAGGAGTACTCGCTCGCCCCTGGGCTTGAGCTCATCAAAGAGTTCAACTCGTTCAAGCCCATACGCGCAGTTACTTCAACAGAAAGCGGTATATACGTGCTAACAACCACGAATAAGGTAGTTGACATCTCAAAAGCAGAGATAATCTTTGAATCTGAGCAGCCAATTCGGACAATAAGCAACTGCCAAGAGTATTTGGCGATTGGCCTTTCGACAGATGAGCTTGTCATTCTAAAGGACAACGAAGAGGTCAAGAGAATTAAAACCTCGGGAGAAATAGGAAAAACAATTTTCAGAGAAATAGAAGGAGAACTCGTGCTTATTGCAGCAATAGTAGTTGGAGTGATAGAAGTGTACAGGGGCACAGAATGGAGCAAAACATCGTACAAACTGCCCACGCCCATTACAGCAGCTGGATTTGAAGATGGCAAGGTGTATGCCGGAGGACTGGGAGGTACTATTTTCATCTGCAGCTTAGAGGGCATAGAGAAGCAGTACCAGTCGGATGTTGACTTTATTTCTCGCATAGAGTGTGGTACAGTCTTTTTTGGCTACACAAACAAGAACAACATTCTGATAAGAGATAAAGAAAACTACACGGGAACACACAAGATAGAGCTTGGCGCGCCTGTGGCAGATATGAAGATCTCGGGAAAACGGCTTTTTGTTGCCGAGGGGAACAGTTTGAAAATATTTAACATCTTTGATGAATAAATACATAGATCGCTTATACTGCATTCTTTGACTATGAATTATCGGGATATGGAAAAATTACTTTCAATAAATTATATTTGAGTTTTAGCAGCACGATTGCTCCTATTTGGAATGCTGAAATGTTCTGGAGATTAAGATATATCATGTAGTGTCTCTTATACTGCACAAACACTAGCTCTTATATGGGTTAAGTTTATATGCCATAAAGAGTAAATATTTTATTGCTGTATTATGCTCTTATTAGTGCTGCTGTTTAATAAAGAGAATTTATATTTATATTCCGTACACTTTTTTATTTTTATTCCAATAGCTGAACTTTCTGACAAATGTACAGGTAAGTGAGTAAATTATTGTTAAATAGAAGAAAGTCTAGAAGAGAGAAGAAAAAGAAGAGGAGTAGCATTTGTAGTAGAGCCATAAAAAACAAACAGATTAGATGCCATTTTTATTCTTGCAGATAGAATCCACACTTAAGAAGGCTAGAGATCGGGGAGTATATATCCAAGCTCATACACTCTGTTCACACTTAGCTTATTCAGAATGAAGTATTCGGATATAACTCTGCTATAAAGATACAACACACTCACTGCACCAGATAGACACATGACTAAAGCTATGAAAAAGATGTATAGGAAAGTGTAGCACCTCACTGCTTTTGCATTTGTGATGTTCTTGAGCTTTTCAGACTTTTCTAGAGAAGTAGAGGCATGGTAGCACATCAGCGCCATAAACCCAGCGATGTAGAAAACAGTTCCAACGTGGTAGTTGTATACCAGTATGTAGTATTCACTGTGGTCATGTGGAGTATTTCTTATCGTGGAATATGCTAGTATGGAAATGTATAGCAAAAGAGCTGAGAAAAACACAAAGCCTGTTTTTTTTGAGAGAATGTTTCTATCGTATAGCATTTTCTTTTTCAAGATCGTGAAGTAGAAAAGAACTAAGGTAGAAATAAACAAAAAACTCAGCAGAGTTCTCGACAAGAATAAAAACCCCATGGCAAATGGATCTTTTGTGCTGGAGAAGGATGAAAATAAGCTGAATGAATGCGATAAACTCTGTAAAAAAGGCCTAAAAAGAAAATACAGAAATACTATATGTCCGCATACAGATGCCATAGAGGCAAAAAGCAAGCCTGAGTATTGAACAACATATTTGTACCGAGAGAATATACTAGACATTAGCCTGTATACAGCGCTGTGCTCTTTCAGATGTTTTCTGCTTTTTTTAAGTTCGTTGAAGGCATAGACAGATATAACTGTGCTAAATGCCATGTTGAATATTATGTGAAGATAGTACTCTACCATAAGAGGCCTAGCACTGTTTATGTCATTGAAGCAGTACGAGGCGATGAAGTAGAAGAGATGGATGAGAAAAGTAAGAGACATGCCCATGTGCAGGCCAAAGGCATTCCATACTCTGAGTTTGTAGAGGCGTGGAATCCGCTCTCTGATGAACTTCTTATTTCCAACACACATATAGCCCAGCATCTGAGTTGTGTAGGAATCAGGCTTTTTATTTCTAAACTTAGTCATTGCTGGATTATTTTCACTTGGTCCTGTAGAACTGCAAAAAATGCTGTATCTTTTACTGTTGCTTATGTAGCTGTAGACGGATATTTTGTTGGATGGATTGCCAAAATGAGGGAAGAATATGAACATGTTCAAAAAGAAGAACAGCTTTTCTATTTGTTCAATCATCTCACTTACCTTCTTCCTGGTGTAGAATAACCCAGTGCAAATTTGCTCTTTTGCCAATTTATACCGGTCTTCTTTACTTTTATCTGTAGCTGAATAATTCAGTAAGTCTTCCATAATGTCATATAATTTCTTTACTTTTGCACGGGTGCTATTTTTTAGAATCTCTTCGATCTTTTTTAGATGCTGATTAAGGCTGTGCGGTTCAAAGCCTATGGAATAGAGTTCTGGGATATGCAGAAAAACTTTGGAATTATCAGATTTATCCGGTGTGCTATCGCATGCTTCCATATCTAGTAGGATGTGCGTTTGCATGGTTCTCAGTGTTTTATGCACTTTTTCTATGTCAGCAGGGCTTAAGTTTGCGATGCTTACTAGAAAATCATAAATGCCATCGTTCATTTCTGCCAGATACTCAAGATCTGCTAGTGCTGTAGAATTCTTGCTATCCGAAATACTTGTGCTGTTTTTTAGATTGTTCAGCTGTTCTTTCAGAATATTAAATTTTTTATATATGTACCTAGCCGACTCCCACATCTTTGAATTCTGCTCCTTTTCAAGCAAAAACCTGCTATGCTCTATAGTAACATAAGCTATAGTCATTATTTCTCGGAGCTTTTTGATTAGCTCAAATTTCGTATATAATGCACCAGAAGTGATACAGTTGACTGAAAGACCAGTTGATAGAAGTATTACCATATCTACTAAGTCCTTTTCAGTCAAGGCATTTGGATACACAATTTGTTCAATCGATTGAATAAAATCCTTCTTATCCATCCATAGAGAACCGCTAAATGGAGCATGGGCTCTTTTGAGAGCATTTTTCCCTGTAGAGTCTTTATATGTATTTCTGTTTTCTGTACAGAAATCAAACTCTACGACAGTACTGGAGTCTTTTGTGCACTCTTTTTTCGTTATTTTGTACTGGTCAAACCAATCGAGATGGTTCATTATTTTTCTTCTGAAGATAGAATCCAGCACACTGTCAGAGTGTGAAATGTTTGGCAGTGAATTTTCATTAGTAGTGTGCTGAGCACTATTTTCTGCACTTGAGATGGCATCTATCGATGTGCATAAGCCATCTTTGATAAGCAGGTTTTGACTACTATCATCAAAGTGATCTGACTGCAGGATAAATACTGCTCTTTCATTTCTTCTTTCTCTTCCATTTCTGAAGTAGCTCGCTGTGCCTAAAAAAAGCTTTTTGGGATAGTCGATAATGAATCTACGCATCCAACCAATTGTCTTTTTCACTTTTTCATTTATAGATGTGTTATCATAATAGCTATTTGTGTATACACGATATGTGATCCTATTAGAAATATGGTTGACATACTTAGAAGAGTGTCTATCTATGAATACTATATGGGGCTGGCTATCACTTTGCTCTTCTTCATTTTCGTGTGCAGTATTATCTCTTTCTCTCTGTAGCAGCATTTCCATATCTTCATCTGAATAGCCTGTAGAGACTAGCAGATTCTTTCTTTCTTGATTATTCTCTGATTCGAGTGAACTCTGCATTATTTTCTATAAAGAGCATTAGAATCTCCTTATATAGACAAAAAAGACAGATTGCATCAGTTTACACGTCAAGCCATCACTAATTAAAGTCAAAATGTGCCTCTAGTCATTCAGCTCATTTGCAATTATGAAACTCCAATATTAAAAAACAAATTCATGTCCCCACTGCAGAGTAAATAAAAGAATGCAGCCACTACTGTTTATAGAAGTTTATTCATTTTTTGATACCAAATAAAATGTTGTTGATGGGGATGTGGATAAAAGTAATGATGTATCCCAGGAACCCGAGCATCAGCACTCCCTTGGTGTGGGAGGCCAGCATGTGGAGATACTCTCCTTTGCCAGGCTTCTTGGACCTTTTCAAAAACAGCTTTACATGGAAAAATTCTTTTCTACAGTGGGCAAGAGTGCTCTTGATCGTCTCGAGCTTTGAGGGCTTAGTCTCCTCTTTTCTCAGCGCTGCCTGCTTCTTTATAATCTCCGATCGTCTTTTGTTTTCCAAAGCCATAAATTAAATAAAAAAATCAAGCGAGTTTATTCTTATATCTTATTGCGTTTTTTGGTGCTGAAAAAGCCTTTGATCGACTGCAGGCGCCAGTAGCTCAGGAAAATGTACAGGGCAGGGAATATGCACACAACCCACAGAGTGTTTTTAGCAGAGGTGGCTTTCACAAGGCTGTTGTTATTGCTGTTTTTCAGCTTTAGAATGTCATTGTATATATTCATTAAGTCCACTCGCACTTTGTCAAGCAGCTTTCTGAGCACTTCTGCTTCGTCTGTGTCTTCGTGCGCTCTGTCAACGTATATCGATATGGAGATATTGGCGTAGTCATCGCTGTCATTGACTATGCGCAGCTCAAACTCTCCGGGCTCCTTGGCCTCGATGTTTTTCTGGAATGTTCCCACGAGTTCTGTCGATGCCGATAGGTTGTTTTTCATTCCTGCAAGAATCTGTATCTGGCTCCCTTCTATGATAGTGGCATCGAGTTTTATGCCCATTCCTGCCTGCGGTATTACTTCGGACATAACCGTTATGGACTTTGGCCTAAATATCTTCTGGATTGCAATTCCGTGCACTAACCCTAAAAGCAGACACACTAGTATTCCTGTTTTCATAAACAAAGAAAAAAACACAGAGTTTATGAATGGAAAAAGTGTGTAACGCAAGACCACAAAAATAGTCGAAATTCCATTTTCGCAAATAAAGGAAATGTAGCGATCTGATGAACACACGTAGCACAGCAGGAATGAGAAGAGTGCACTCGTAAAAGAGGAAAGTATGGGCAGAGGTTAGAAATAGTGGAATGTAAAAAATTTTATAATGAGCACCAAGAAAGCGTCTCTCTTCTCTATTATAATCTTCAGCAGAGAAAAAGAGGATGTGCAAATGTATCTGGAGGAATACTCCCTCCAGTCGTTCAGCTTCTTCAAGAGAACGCCCGTGCAGGAGATGATACGGTTTATATCTAACAGAATAGTGCAGAACATAGAGACAGAGCGCTCGCAGGAGTTTATACACAAAGTAGAAGAAGGAGACAGCTACAAGTTTTTTGTACGAGAAAAAAGAGGATACGTCTATGTGATAACCTCTCTCCTTGAATATCCCATCCCCACCCTCTGTCTCCTGATAGATGACATTGTAAAGTACATTCAAGACAACAAGCTGAAGTGCCCCGAGCTGTCTCACGAGATATTTAATGAAGGAAAAGAAGAGAAAGAGCGCGGAAAAGAGGAAAAACAAAAACTGAAGGCATTTGTAAAACAGCAGATAAAAGACTACCAGAACTACGAAGAAAAAGACGTAATGCTGCAGATACAGAACGAGCTCGATGATGTGCACGATTTACTGTCAAAAACGGTAGAAAGCGCCATTGGAAGAGGCCAGAAGCTGCACGATCTGATAAACTCAGCAGAGCAGCTGTCCTTCCAGACAAAAAGTCTGTACAAACTCAGCAAAAAACAGAACCAGAAGTGCTGCGGCATAATGTAGTAAGAGGAAGCAGCCGTAATATAAACCAGTTTACTCGATAAAATTTTTACATGAGTGCGCACTGCATATTGCTGCATATTCTCGCAGAGTTCCGAAAGGGAAAAAACACTAAAATATCAGAGCTAGCAGAATCAATGCAGATAAGCAGACAGGAGTGCATAAGCTCTCTGCAGCTGCTCGTATCGCAGCTGGAAGAGTTGGGGTACACTCTTTTGTCAGGCCACACATCAAGAATAGATGAGAGCGGAAAGACCCTGTCACCCGATGCCACCACAGTTCAGTACACCCATTTATCTGAGTCATTTAAAAAGTGCGACTTTGTCTATCTTGTCAAAACAAGGGAATGCACCGAAGAGGAGAATGAGTTTGTAAATAGACACGTTTCTGAAATAGTGTTTGTCTACACTGTGCTGTACCTGAATGGAAGTGAGATGGAGTACGAGCGAGTGGTAAGCGCCCTGTGGCAGATAGGAGGGAAAGAAGAGCTGCTGAAAGAGATCATCAGCAAAAAGTACTTCAACAAGAAAAAAAGAAACGAGGAGTTCTTCGTACGGCCCTGCTGGAAGTTCTTCTTGGAGTTTCCAAAGTTTTCACCGCAGGAGTACATTGCGTCACTCAAATCATCCAGTGTAGTGTAAAAATGAAAGAGTGCGATCTATCAAGACAAAACAGCATAAATAAACAAATCCAAACATTAATCAGAGTTAATTAGAGCAAATTAAATGTGGCAGAAAACAAAAAGTGACTTATTCACAAAACAGCACGGTAATATGCACCGGTATAAACAAAACTTATTTATTCGTTTATTCTTCACAGATGTCCTTTAATTTGGATAGAAAAAAAATAGAACATCAAAAATCTCACTATGCACTCCTAGGCTAGCCTAATACCGTACACATGCGAAATATACAAGTTCTACTTTCTCATCTGCTTTTTAGTAATATCTGGCATAGCATAGCTTAGATAAAATTGCCCATTTTAGTAAGTTTAACAGTATCATGCAGTGCTCTGTCCATCTTCCTTCATAAATAAGTGTGCAAACATTAGCTTCTACTCAGCGTAAGGCACCACTAGTAAAAATTTAAAGCACAAAAGAGTGCAAAAGAAAAGTATCAGTTTATAATATTCTCGGATTTAATGACTTTCAGTGCTTCACTAGTGATTTTCGACATTTTGTTTTTCGAGATCTTCGGACACTTTCTGCAAGACTGTATCAGTGGGCATGTGGTGCATGCTCTTTCCCTTGGCTCTTTCCTCCACCATGCCCTTCATGGCCACCCCGTACGCGTCTGTTACTCTCTCCGAGTAGCAGTCAATACGGCTGGCGAGTGCACACTTGGAGCTGAGGTATCTGCTTACTCTCCCGCGCATTCTTGGTGCTGTTGAGTTGATAAACGAGGAGTGGAAAATAAGCCCGTACTTTGGTGTTTTTGCTTTGCTTTTCATAGCTCTAAAAAGGGCCTTTTCTGCACCAAGAACCTGAATTGTGGAAGATGGGCACATTGCAAGCTTGCTTAGCCCTCCGGCCTTAAGGATAAGCCTGGCAGCCACCATCTTTCCAACTAGCGCAGTGAGATTGGGCGCAACAGTGGAGAGTCTCTTCTCCAGATGCTCTACCGCGTGTGTGTACAGCTCTATCTTTTCCATCACAACACCTGAAAGCTCCATAATCATTGTCAGATCTTCTTCTGTCAAATCTCCTCCTATTGTGTTGTTCATGGCGTCCACAATGGCGTCTCCATTCTCCAGCTGCAGAACTGCCTCTTTATCTGCAGTTTCTCTGTTTCCTACGGTGCCAATGGCTCCCAGATAGTCTATCTGAGTTTTGCACAAATCTATGAGCTCTGGGAAGTGCCACGAGTACATTTCTTTGATTCGCATGAAATAGTCGTTTATGTCCACTGTCATATCATCAAGCATCGAGATGCACTGCATAACTGCGTGATCTTCTCTTGCATTGTCGTACTTTATGTTTTTTCTGGAGATGGCGTGCGACAAGCTGACTTGAGACTTTTGCACTCTGGGGAAGTCAACTGAAAATAAAAAATCAGCATTGCCCCTCACAGCTCTGAGCAGCTCGAGAGAGCTCTCCTCATCCACCATTTTTATCCCAATCTCTTTCATTTCCAGGGCGTACGCCTTGTCAGC